CTATGACAGGTTCTTGTCTAAAGGGGGTCTAAATGGAGGATCTTAGCCTAACAGGTAACAACTGTAGTGATGAAGACCAGAAGCACACATTGTAACGTTCAAGTTTTTACTACCTATATATATTTAACAAAGGCAAAAAGTAAGGCTTCAGTCAGAGCCACCTTAAATTGTGCTAAATGTATTATCATGACATCTACAGCAGTTATTGCTTGATGCATAAAGTTTATATAAGGAATATGCAAAGTTACAGTATTTTTTTTTTTGTCTTTTTAACTGTTGTTTAATCCATACTAAGTACAGTAGATAAAATAGCAATTGTATTTTTAGTAACATTGGAAGTTTCTGAACCATTGCGTAAAACATCTGCTCTCCAGTTGGACCATTCTACTGGAAACTGCTGCAGCATTGCGACAGTATGTACATTTCAATTGCCCCAGCTTTATTTAGACGGAGAGAATAAAGACTGCTGTATATCTGACACACTGACGCTGTTTGTTCTCGTAAAGGGACCATGGACGAGTTTATCTTTACCTGTCAGTTCTGTTCGTTGGAAAATAGTACATAGGTCTTAATACATAAGGTCTACATCGCAGTAATAACGCATACGCAAGTCTTCAATAACGCCCCGCGCTGTTCACAACCCCGCGCTGTAGGCAGAGGAAGCCGTCTTGCTAAACCGTAACACATTCACATGCCTTTAGCCTGTAGAGGGGTAAACACGCACAACGGGACATGCAATACATACTAAACTTCGAGACTGTTTCAATATCTTGGGCACTAGCCGAATAAGCGCCATCCGAACTCTTAGGCCAGATCAACCAGAGAAATATGCAACGAGAATAATTTGCCATTCATTAATCTTGATGTTTTCAGCACTGCCCAATACCTTCACACAAACGATCACACTTTTCAATTTCCTTTGGTGCGAAACGTCTTTGAGATCATGAAATATGCCATCTACGAATTGCAGCACTTCCCTTATTTGAAAACTGTGCTTAGTGAGTGATAAGCTCCCCCCGGCCGGGCTTTAAAGGAGATGTGCATGTAGCGGAATTTTTGAAAATTCAAACAATAGAAACCGCCCAAAGACCCACAGACTGAGTGAAACATTAATAGAAGCGCTCAAAACAAGAAAAGAAGGTAAAATAACACAGGAAATAAAAAGGAGAAACGGATGAACAGACTGGAAGAAGATTGAAACGGATTGTAATTGTTGTTGTGTGAAAACTTGTTAGCCGATTTTTTGATAATTTCCTTTTTTTGTTTGTTTGTAAGGTTTGCTATAATGATAATATACCATATTTGTTGTTGCTGTGATTTTGCCATTATAAGTTATTTCTCAAGTTCCATAGTGAATAAAGACGCGCATGCGCAATTGGCATTATTAACAATCTGAACTAGAATGTTTAGTTAAGGTAAAGTGAACTCACAGCCCCGGGGGTGAAGGTACTTTAGGAATTTCTGGGTAGGGATGTGCCGCTGGGACCCTGGAACCCTTGACCTATACCAGAGCTAGTTTAGCTGAATTTTGCTACCCTATACTAGAGTAAACTCCCCAAATCCCCCCTATCCTAGGGTAGCTGTTTCCCTAGTCTAGATAAAATCTTCAACCAACTGATCAGTTTCCTGAAAAATGAGACCCTATTCTAGACCCAAACGCTCTGATTTATATACCCTATCCTAGAGTAAACTGCTTGAAAACCATACCCTTCACAGCGGCACATACCTATATAGCCCATACATGGCAGTACCCCCCCCCCCGGCTCCCAGCAAATTCTGACAGACCGTGCGCTTAATTTTTCCTTATAACCAATGATTCCTTTATCTCCGTAAAAAGCTAGCATGCTAGTGGTGGAAAAGAAGCAATCCTTCATTCTGAACATTTTATGTAAAAAGTTTGGAGCTTGCTGATCAGAAGGAAACCCGACTGTTCAAATGCCCATGACCTCTAACCTATAACACGAGACTGGAATGACAAGAAACTTTCTTGACCAGTTCATGTAAAGTTTAAACCACAGTCATAACTGTTTTCATTACCTTTTAGTCGGCAACCTGCGATCAGGCCCTATCGTTTTCTTTTTCAGAAGAGAGGGGGGAGAAGAACGAAGGACCTAAATAGTCATACTTGGGAGAGCACGATCGTAGGCTTTTTACTCTGGCTGCTAAGCAAAAGATAATCTAAAACAGCTGCCACACAATACATACTAACACGCGCTCTAGAGTCCTTGCCTTGACCTGCTAGGCAAGACGTGCAAGCAACAGGAAATTGAACGGTTCCAAGCATTCATTTCATAAGGTTTGCACCTGGTTGGCATTTTGCCGAAACTATTTCTGTTTCAGCGGTAAATGACGGACCGGGGGAGCTCATAGCTAAACTGAGATACACATACATAGCAGAAGGTTGCCTTATGTGCCACTCGGCACGTACATGCACGCCCAACAGGAAACTAACAACGCCATCCTTATCTATTTTATTCCCTAGTTACTAAAAAACTCGTACGAAAACCTCAATTCATAGTGAAAGAAAAGAGCTTGAGTAACTACGAGAAAAAGTTTAACCGAAGGGGTTTCCATTTCAAAGATGATGGTGAAAGTTAGAACAACTAAAAAGAGGCAAACTTGTGCCCTTTCTTTCTGTTGTAACACTAACATGTATAGCCCTGGAATAAAGTCTAGTTGGTGGTATTTTGGGTTGAATTTTCTAAAGTAAAATTCTAAGACGCATGAACGTTTCAATGGAGGATTCAAACATACAGTTTTCTCTTTTTTATTAATTTATTTCATTTTAGTTTTAGTTTCTCTTTCTTGTAACCGTAAGGTTGAGATAAAACATAAATTAAAACCACGAGGATTTTCAGATATTTTCAAATATCTACGATAATGCGTCGACAAGATAATAAAGACTTACGATAACAATTACCCTAAATTGATTTGCAAATAAATATTGTTCAAGTTACTTTAATTTAAAAGATGTTCGAAAACTGAGAGATGCCATTGTAGACTTGAAAAACTTTTGAGCACTATTTAAAAAACACCTTCCGGGGTAGTTTCTCAAAAATGAATACAAACTGACGATGGTGGGTGCCTGATATTACAACCTGTGTATTCCGATCTTCCCAGTGGTGCTTTCGGAGTTCGTTTTCATTATTTTTCCGATCTGCTCAGTGGTGCTTTATGAGTTTGAGAAAATGTGAAAATATTCTGGGTATTCCTTTTTTCACCCAGGCTTCGTAACACTGACAGAAGGCAAAGACTCTCCCTTCCGAGGCAAAATAGAAACAAAAGTGGTTTCTTTCCTTTCTAAAATGATAATTTCTGTACTGACAAAGAAAACCGCACCAGTCTTTAAAATTGCTCTTTGTTACGCAAATTAATAGTTGTAAACTTTCATTAAAATTTTTAACGATCAACTATAGATCATCAAGTTGACAGGTTCATGGGCCATTGGTTCACTAAAATGTGTACTTCTTTTAACAAATTAACTCATTTCAAGATACCGTATACATATTTCTGGAAACTATGTCTTTAAGTGTGGTTAATTTCGAGGAGTTAGCTTGGCCGTATGTTAAGTTTGAATGTACACCGTTTTTGCAGTGATTCTTGAAAAAAAACTTTATCATTTTCTTTAATATTTGTCTTGGTCATGTTTTCTGTTATTGAAACATGTCTTAAAAAGACTGAAGTTATCTTTTAGCACCCATGAGCAAACTCCGCGACAGTTAGAGAGTATACCTTTGATCATAGCGACCAAGCTGATTACCAAATTTACCCGGGGGTACAGCTCCCTATAATAACCTATACGAGTAGGCTCTGTCCGAAGGGGGTACCATTTTCAGGCTTCCGGGTGAAAGGGTAGAGAAATCTTTCATTTCGGTCGGTAACAAGGCCCAAGAGGGCTGACAGATGGATTTTATAGCTTTGAAAAAGTCGAGAAAACGTTCTGGTTTTATGATTTATTTATATTTTTAAGACAGTGCATTTATTACAGCAGTTAAAAGGGTGTAAAGTTCTGAGGGACTTGTCAGAAATTAGCAGGGGGGGAGGGGGGGGGGGTAGGAATTTTAAATTTGGGTTCGGAAATGAGGTGACCCATCCCTACAATGGGAGTGAAATTTGCTAACCCTCCCCTTGACCTTGGCCAAAAATATCATGACCCTCCCCCTCTTGTATAAACGATAAAATCTAGTTCTTGCAATACACTTAGGGTGAGTCAGTATTAGGAAAGCTCAAAATATATTTCTAATCTGTTCTTTGTAATGCCTTATACATACATTTTAGATGACAGCATTAAGAGTCCGACTCTGATTCTGACAGCTGATCAGTCGACTCTCCTATTTCTCCCAGGTTTTCTATACAAAATAAAGAACTTCTTTTTTTCTTCTGTGGGTGAACCTCTACATGATCACGGACACTTGTTTGCATGACCCTCCCCCTTTTAACGGCCCATTTTTCATGGTACCCTCTTTTTTCTGCAGTCTCAAAAAGTTGTGACCCTCCCTCTGTTTCCACCCTCTCTCCCCCTGCTAATTTCTGACAAGTCCCTGAACTAGGTATATAAAAGGAGTACAATTTTTCAATATCAGGAGCGAAAAGGGCACCTTTTTGTCAAAAATGCTGTATTATTCGGTAAGGGGTTAGACCTTGGGAAAGAGCCTCCCCGTAGAAAGCTATGTTGAGTCCCCCCGGGCAAATTTAGTGAAACATGCAGCTACTCAAGTGGATCTATTTATGGTATTTATAGCAGCCTAAGGCGAGGTCCTAAGCGGCATTCCACAAGACCCCATTCAAAGCCAATCGACTTTCACGTATATTGTTTCAACATAATAGGATCATTGTATTACAGTCACACAGCTTTATTTACGGTGGTCTTATCGTCTATATATACATTAAACTCATGACAAGCGCAAGCTCTTGATGTGTACGTTTCCCTTGAGGTTTACATAAAGAACAGTTAAGTCTCTTTTTATTGCTCGTGCACGAGTGCCTTTCTACAGTCGAGCATGAGATTTACGACGAAAGTATCATCCCAAGAAACGGCGTCAATCTCTAAATCAAGCGCCTCAGAAGAAAAGTTTACATTTAAGGTGAAGAAATCAGAAGTCACGAACACAGAAGAAGAAGGGGCTTCAGGAGGAAAGCCCGTTAAAAAATCCAGTTCTCTTAACGTCAACCGTGAAGCAATAGAAGATTTCGCAGCTGTCCGCGAAAGAATCTACCCAGTACTTAAAGCGAGGTCTTGGGTTGACGTGACCAAGGATTTGTTGGCGAAAATAGACCCCAAGAGCAAAGCGGGAGTCATATATTCGCCCCTGAAGAACGTGCCTGGATCAGGCATTGGCTACACGCTCGCTATCATCGGAGAGGAGCCTGATTCGCTTAGCTATATCCTGACCAGCCACTTAGATGCTTGGAGCACTTCAGAGACCGTTCTTGAGGAAGTGGCTTTGAGAAATCTGGAGAAGAAATTCGAGGATCTAGGGACAAATCTTTGGGTGCAGAGCAAGACTGGCATTTACTACATAAACACTTGTCTAGGCTCTCTCTCTGCATCTGTTGTGTTGCTACCCCGGTTTATCGAGCCGTTGGACGTAGGGAGCGGAGACGCTGTTGTAGTGATCCCGTCCAGTGGCCTCTGCATGGTGGTCGGTTCAAAAGATGAAACGCGACTCTGTATCGTCGGAGAAATGTCCCTTTGTTATTCATGCGATCCGCACCACTTGAACACGAACCTTCGTCTGAACAAGGCAAGAATGGTGATGGCAAAGTACTCTCCGAAATCTTTCGCTGGCGAATATCCCGTTCCTTCGACGATGGAAGAAGTGGCTGGGCTTAAATTGAGGGTACAACCTATCAAAAAAAAGAAATAATTTCCTATGACAGACGAGAAATTATTATATTTCAATTTCCTTAATTATGTCAATGAAAAAGTACACAGTATTGAATGAACAAATGCCAAACAAAGAGCTCCAGAAAATGACATTTTAATGCCAAACGGTCACGCATCATCTTTTGAGGCATGGAATAGTGTAACTTACTGTTCTAGAGGATAAATTTTGTGTAGTTTGATGAAGAACAAACAAAACCAGACTTTTTAGTGAAGAGGAAGTTTTAAAAGTTCTTTGTAAAGAGTTTTATAATAAGTTAAACAGTTTACAAGGTCCCCTGTTGGACCTGTTGTATTATAATAACCTGCTGAGCTAAAGGAGACAGGGCAGAATTAAAAAAGAATTTAAATTGTCATTTGTGTGTATTTAATAATCAATCATTTGGCGTCCAATAAGAATGGAGAAGTTACCATCAAGATTGCTTGCATTCCGCCTTTTCGCTTAAAACATTCGTCGAGTTCAGTGTATCCCAGCCAGCGCGTTTTGCAAAAGAGACCTTTACACGAGATCCAACGACGCGACGGCATCGAGAACGTCGCTTAAAAAGTGAATTTGCGTTCTTTCAGTCTTTATAGCGGTTTTGCCAAATGTAGGCGGACCCTCCTGAAGCTGAATTTCAAGCGACCATATCTAAGCTCAAAAAGAGGAATAGAATTTCGTCGTTGCTTCTTTACGTCCTCCATAAAACGCGAAATTAAGCACTTTCACGTCGCAGTCGTGCATGAGAGGGAAAGAAATGCACAAACAAAGTGTGACGCACGTGCAAAGTTGTTGTTTTGCTTATTAAACCTATTGTTCTTTTGACGTTCTCGTTGCCGTCCGCGTCGTTGGATCCTAAAGTCCCTAATGTCTTACACGCGCGCTTTCCTGGTGGTGAAACGAAGAAAACCAACGGACTGCTACCAGACTAGGAATTACCTATCCCGTGTGGGGTGACTTGGGCCGGCGGGGTAGCTGAATCCTCTAAGGCAAAGTTTTGTGCCCTCTGAAAGCAGACACGAGTCTTTAATCAGTGTGTAATTGGGCGCGTTTTTTTATTCCATTCTTCTCTTGAGAACAATTGATCAGGCTCCGCTTGTTCAAAAGCTGGATAACGCTATCCACCGGCTAAATCACTTTCCAGTGGATAAGTATTTGGAAAACCAATTGCGTTATCCACCGGATAGAGATTTATACAGTGGATAGCTAGCTTTGTAAACCTTTTGAAAAACTGGGACAAGGTCTGAAATATGGTGGAGGAAATCAAATGTTTTGGTCTGGGCGGTTTCTCGAAAGGGGGAGACAGCTTGTTTCGATACCATTTAGCATGACTTAAAGTCAGTTCAAATTTAACCTTAGTTGCTTTTAACAAAAGGGTTGTATTACGCTTATTTCTAAGTGTTGAGGAAGTCTTTTTTAGGAAACTTGGTGTGATAATTCGAAAAGACCATAAAATTGAAAGCTACCGATTTGACCACGCCAAACGCTAACATACCAGAGTCTCACAAAACGAAACTGATCAAACAATGGTTTTAACGAGTTTATTTATCCTTACAAACAACTTTACCATTTTTCCATCCAAATCATACTACAAACCTAATACATCAGCTTATCATAGTGAATCCATAATTCTGCCGCTTTAGCTCCACTCCCTCCAACCCAGTCCACTCCACAAGGCGCAAAGCTTTTACAAGGAGGGGTAGGGAGGGGAATAGCGGTTGACAACAAGAGAGAAGAACGGGACAAAGAGGAAAACACCCAGTCAAGCCCTTGGAATGTGTAAATTTCATCAAAGTCATTTTCAGACCGGAAGTAGGTTTCCCGAGAGGTCCGCCAACTTTTATTCAGCGTTGTAAAGATAGTCGCCATTACCACATATATTCTACACTGTTTGCTTTGACACAGTGGCGCGTGTACTTTATGACGTTTCAAACACTCGATTAAAATAGGCGGACGCCCCAGCAATTTGACTTTGGATACAACCTCTAAAACTAACTCTAGTGAAACTCACATATCCCGGCCAACGCCCTAAGATTCCCTGTCTGTTTTGTTATTATTCTCTCTTGTTGACAACCATTCCCGCACTGNGACCACGCCAAACGCTAACATACCAGAGTCTCACAAAACGAAACTGATCAAACAATGGTTTTAACGAGTTTATTTATCCTTACAAACAACTTTACCATTTTTCCATCCAAATCATACTACAAACCTAATACATCAGCTTATCATAGTGAATCCATAATTCTGCCGCTTTAGCTCCACTCCCTCCAACCCAGTCCACTCCACAAGGCGCAAAGCTTTTACAAGGAGGGGTAGGGAGGGGAATAGCGGTTGACAACAAGAGAGAAGAACGGGACAAAGAGGAAAACACCCAGTCAAGCCCTTGGAATGTGTAAATTTCATCAAAGTCATTTTCAGACCGGAAGTAGGTTTCCCGAGAGGTCCGCCAACTTTTATTCAGCGTTGTAAAGATAGTCGCCATTACCACATATATTCTACACTGTTTGCTTTGACACAGTGGCGCGTGTACTTTATGACGTTTCAAACACTCGATTAAAATAGGCGGACGTCCCAGCAATTTGACTTTGGATACAACCTCTAAAACTAACTCTAGTGAAACTCACATATCCCGGCCAACGCCCTAAGATTCCCTGTCTGTTCTGTTATTATTCTCTCTTGTTGACAACCATTCCCGCACTGGAGGAGTGAGTATCCTTTGCAGTCTCAATTATTACAGCTATCGTAAAACCTGTTTCGTGAAAGAAGTTCTTAAACGTATAACGCGATTTAGGAGGACTATGTTGTATAGAAAAACCGACCGCTACGATTGAAAGCTCCTTTCTAACAAAATTTATCTTTTGGCAAACAGGAATACTTTGAGAGATAGTTCCCTTTTCCTGCTTTTACCAATATAAACAGAATTTCATCGTGCCAATAGCTCCGCTACAAAGTACCACGACCTACCACGCCCTCGAAACCCAACTTTTACCTGGCGTTTTTTATTTGGCGGAAAGTGGCCACTGGTTTTTCAGTACAATGTTTCTTAACAGCAAAGCCTCTCTTCCGCTACCAGGGTAGCCTGCGTGGCAGACGTTCGAAAGGAAAGGGGAAGGGAATTAGGGCACGAGACCGCGCGCGAGGGAGGTGGCGCCCCCTCGCGCTCACGCGCGCCCAAATTCCCCCTTCCCCTTCCCCTTAATTTTAATTATCAGACAACGCGTTTAGAAAGCTAAAACTGTTACAAGTCATCCGCAAAATTAAATATAAGGAACCTGAAAACTTGGTCAGGGTATAACAATTCGTAAACCTACAATTCTGACAAAATAAGCTCTTACTATTTCACATAAAAATTAGAGCGACTGAAGCAGGGCAATGGATTGTTTACAGGACTCTTACGTAGTTGTAATGCTATGAATTTCGGTTACAACCAATATAAAAAATCATATTCTTCACATTTAACGAAAACTATTTTTGGATTGACGAAGAAATACAGCTTTTTGTTTTGGAATTTATTGCTACAAAGGAAATGGCTTAATGAGTAATTTTATTTTAACACGGGTGTGATAACTACAATTCTTTCAACTGTGCTAATGTCGTTTTCAGTAGGTTGACATGTGCCTGTTGAGGAAAATGAAACGAGGTGAATAGTCATCAAGCAAATTTCTTGCAGCGCTAAGGAGGCTATATAGACAAAGAGTTCTGGGATATCGTGTGTCCTAGAAACGTTTTCTGATAGAACACGAACTTCAGTGATCAATAAGCAAGAGTAAACAGTTAGAGAAAATTACTGTTTGAAAATATCGAATAATGACAATGTTGAATCCCCAAGATAGTCTTCTGTGATAAAATCCTTTCCTTTCTTGGAAATGACGTCACCATGAGTATTTGACATTACAGGCCTAATCAGCCTCGGTAGACAACACCCTCCTCGGTGCCCATAATTCTTCAGATCATACTCAGCCTAATCCAATTATTGCTTAATGAACCCTTCAAGCCCAAATATCCACACAGAAATTCTCCAAACTGATCTCCATGCATTTCTTTTAAGAATTAGTTGAAAGAATTTGATATTTTCTCTTTGTTGATCATTTTATTAACTCTCATAACCTTATCTCTTGACAAGGTATGGATATTGTAACGAGAAAATTGATGATGATCACTGTTGAGACTTAAAAGGGTTAACAAGAAAAATTGTTCTTCAAGAAACTAGTTCACTGCATATGGCCAAGTTCATTTTATTGCTTAGAAATCAGTTATCACTACTGATGTTTACCTTTGCATGTTTAAGTTCCAGCTCAGCTCTTTCAGTCTAAGGAAAAATGTATTGGTTAATAGCATTATAATATTATTTCACATTATAAAAATAATAATTATGTTATAATATCATTTAAAAAACAAATGAGTTTCAGGAATGATTCACCTTCAAAATTGATGCACTTTTGCCAAAGGCAAGTAACGCCCTAACCAATTCAAACTAATCCAAGGGAACGATCCAGAACATTTAAAAAGCGGCCAAGGCCTTGCATCCCTTCACCAAATCACCTATGTTCACTCCCACCACCACCACTGGAAAAATTGGTTCCTGGAGAAACTATTTACTGATTGCAGAACTCCGGTAGCATTTGCGTCCAGATATTTAGTCCCTGAAAGACTTATTTTATTCTTATCAAAATACAAGAAAACTAGAGAGCCTAAACTGGCCCCACCTGTTCATGAAACTGTCAATTTTAGTCTATTAAATCTGAGACAGGAATTGAAGTACCATGTTATCAACTCAATTTCCTGCTAAACTGCATTGTTTTCCTCTTACCAGGTTTTTCCTAAACTGCTGAACCCTTCTTGTCTTGAAGTCGGTCAATTCTGTCCCAAAACAAACAAAATTCTAACTCATTCATGTTACCGTATTTCCTGGAGTAAGCACCTAGGCACTTATTTAAAATTTCCACGAACAGGCGGAGGGGGGAGGTGGTATTTATTGCAAGGAGGGTGCTTAACCGAAGGGGCGCTTATCAAGTTTTCCTTTCAATGAACTGTAATTTTATTTTAGCTAAGTCTGTTTAAAATAGAAAAACAAAAGCAAACAAAACAACATTATCAAAGTAAACATTAAATGTCTTTTGTTCAATAAACAGTGAATGGTACAGTCGACTCTCTCATAAGCGACCACCCTAGGAGCACGACAAAGAGGCTCTTACAAGAGGTGGTAAGGAAAAAAGCTCAAACAGAACTGATTAACACAGTAACATAAAGTTATTACCTAACAAGCTAAAACGTAAGCAAACAGACAACCGATAATAATATTTCACATCGAAAAGCGCTTGGAACTGTTGAAACTCTGTACATAACATTTTGCATCAATGTTACAATCCACCGTTTACCTACAGATCGTATAACAGCCATCATTTTTGCAAGTCAACTGCTATAATCTGTCAGCACGCTTGGTCAGCGCTTTTAAAAACTGAACTTTTATGACATTCGAGCAACTCATGTCGGCTGGTCGCTTACGAGTAACAGATAACAAAAGAATATGTCAAATTTCTGGTTTAAAAAGTAGTCGTGGTCACTTAAAAAAGAAATTTAAGTGGTGGTCATTCACGAGAAACAGTATTTGACTGAGAAACAAAAAAGTTATTTTTGAAGTAGTCGCTTACGAGAAGTGGTCGCTATGAGAGAGTTGACTTTATCAATTATCTTATCATCCTAGAGATCATCCTCT